ATCGTGTTAATCGCTTGTAATGAATTGACTTAATCAAAATTTACTCACCAACTAACAAAATTGTCTTGGCTGCTCTCAAATAGACATTGCTAATGTATATGACTATTGGGCAACTTTCTGCACACTGATGCGTTTGTTCAAAGTTATCAAATATCACGGATGTTCAAAAGGGTACTGGATTTCTAGCCTGGCAGGTGAAGACCAGCTGAAGACATGCAGCTGATGTTTGGCGCAGAAACATCCTCAGAGATGCTTGAAAGGTGGGACACAGCCTGCAAGTCATTGAAGAGGCGAAACACTTGACTTCATCAGCTGACGGCCGTTTGCTTGTGAGAGCAGCTAAAAAGCTTCCACATGACGACACTACAACCAGAAATAATACATGGGTGACTTTAATGTTCATGGGAGCTCATTGCCACTGATGTTCTTTATTACTTTGTCTCCTTTATTACCTGTCAGACTGGGATAGTGATATGTTCTCCCTGCTGCTGCTGCACTCTCTGTTGCCTACAGCTGGACGCAGAAGGGTCCAAATAAGCCCCGCTGATGCTGTGGACAAACTTGTGCCTTTAAAACTGTCTCGTAGCCCTTTATGTCTTTGCTATTGGTCCTCAACATAAGCGTATCAACATCTTGGGAATAATAAGAGCTAGATTAATTTGATATAAGTTAGTGTGGAGATATTTAAAAGTACATAATTATACATTAAACACAAACCTCTGTTGGGTAGCAAAAGTAGTTTGCTTTTTTCTTATATAATGGTCTCATAATTGTCACATTGTGATATGTTGTGCCTTGCTGCAGCATTAAGAGGAAGAGAGGGTCAGCAGCTGTACCTCCTACGCAGGACCGACACTTACTACATTGTTGAGGACAAACTTCTCATTCCTTGCCGGGGATTCAACTCCTTAGCTGCCTTTTGATGAACTGTTTAAAATCCCACTTCATGTTTAGCCCGTCCCTTGCCCAGATGCACCTTTGTGCAGACAACTGTGTATAACATCGACATTGGAACAGCAACTGGGACCACTGGAGTTCATGAACTGCGGACAAACTTCTCAACTAGAAATAAGAGATGACGGTCAGATGTTTAGGTTTCACCTGCCAGGTCATACATGTGAGCAATAAAACAATTTTAGTCTTAGTTATGTGGATAGATGTGAAATGCTAGCAAGATTGCCAAATGTCAACATGCAAAACGTTATTTTCTCAACAAACCGGGTGAAGCAGAATAAGATGTAGCAAAGGCCTTGTCATCTGCAGTTCCATTGAGAGTGGTTCAGACGGTGGCCTATACATCGTGCCTTTGTTCTTACCAACCTACATTGTAATTACATTGCTTATTGTGATTTTATACAGCACTGTAAGGTGTTAAATGACACTGAGTGCTGTAAACCTAAGTCTGACTAGTGTGGACCTGTGTAAACCCCGGGCCAGTGTGTCCCTCGGCTCTTTTTGAGTTGATTTAACTGTTACATGACTGTCTGTGCTTCTAGAGGGGTTACGTACAATATGCTTCCATGTGTTGAATAGGCTGCCTCTTTCTCCTTTCACTGTGGTGAGTTTGCATGCGTGTGTGCGACGGTGTATGTGTGTGGCTCTGTCGTATCCCGTCACTGTTTTTAGAGGAGCGCTGGAGCGGCTAACATGCTGGCGGGTGCTGGCCGTCACACTGAAGAGAAGCCGGGCAGTAGCTGTGTGTTTCTTTCTGTCCCCAGGTCCACACAACCTGTCCCCTTTGTGTCCCAGGCAGGACCACCTCAGGGACAGTTAATGTACACTGGGTGTACTCTAAAACACAAAAATAACCGTATATGTGGTTTTACAGTTCATTCCAGTATTTTAGCATGTTTCAGCAAAATGTGTCGGAAAACTATTTCTTAATACATTAGTGCATGTTAAGAAACTCACGTTGTGAAACATGATTTAATCAAAAGCTCCAGAAGCCCGTCTCACCACAGTAATTTGTGGTCACTCTTTATGTTCATATCTCTAATGGTGGCAAGGTCATGTTTTCATAAAAAAACAACTCGACTCCTCCGGTTGCAAAAATAAGTCGGATTGTATAGAAGTCTATGTCAAAATGACTCTACTTCTCACTTGTATTATGTCAGTAAACATAAGTTTATGTTCTAAATCACTACTTTGAAGTCTTCTTTGATACAGCATTATGTTAATTTGGTAAATGATGGTCACATTATTGGATGATAAAACAGGGTATGCTTTAGGACTGGCTTGCGATTGACAGGTCCCTGGTCAAGGCGTTGTCCGGTCTGGGAGTTATATTACTAACCTCCTTTTTCCAAAGCAAAACCTACATGTTGTTTGATGGATTTGTTAGCCATTGGTTTCCATTGCATTTCAGTATGGAGCAGTAATTTGGACCCCTATTAACATAAGCAGTTACATCATTGATACACGGTAATGCAGTTGCATTCAGTGCGTACTTTGAAGACACGTCTTTGTCGCTGCATCTAATGAAATTCATGTCAGGTTTGAAGGTTAGCAGCCAAATAACGCAGCATCAGAAAGAAATTGAAACAGGCGTTTGAAACGGGGCCTTCTGTCAAAGCAGCAACCGTGTTGTTTGTCAGTATGTGATCGGTAAGGGACGCTCTCTTCTCCACTGGGTCTCTCCAGGTTCAGCCTCAGATGATCCAGCTAAGTGGTCCCACTGGCTGTGTTAAAAATCCACTGTAAATCTGCCCCTCCATTAGCTGAGGAAGAGTATATAGCATAGCAAGACCAATTTAGTTGGCTAAGCAAAAACCTCCTTAATACCAGTGCAGTCGGTCCAACTGGTGATTCATTTTGGCACATTCCCAGGAGTTCGATATTGTGATGGATATCTCGCCACAGAGCTGACGGCCCGTCTGTATTTGTGTTTGTTTGTGTCATAGCTGGGCCACATGAGCGAGTGATTTGTGTAGTAGCGTTGCAGACAGAAGGCAATATCACTAGTCCTATTCATTAGTATGCTGCAGTATAGAGACGGAGAGCTGCTATCAGATCAGGGGAAGCCTTGGCAGGAGAGCAGAGGAAGACACAGGGAAAGACATACAGTAAGTACAGAGATACGGACAGGAAGCAGCAGCAGATAATGAGTGAAATGTACAAGAAATGGTTCTAAAATATGGTAATAATCTTAATTTTGTCAACACATTTTTCTCTTAAATAATATGCACAGCCAAGAAATACCCTGATTTAATTTTTCATTCAAATTGGGCTCAATATCATGAGTCATTCAACTGTTAATTAGCTGTTAAAATGGGAAACAAATGACAGATTGAGAAAATAGGATGTTGTGATAATATCCTCCTTGTTTTCCTACATTTGCCTATGTTATTCTCTAAAATTACTAATGAAGGTGAGAACAAATAAGCCAGAAATGAAGACGTGGCTGCAGAATACTCTGATAGCCATCATTCACCAGCTGTCCCTCCTGTGTGTGTATGCACTAAAGCACGTGTGGGATGTGTGTGTGTGTGTCTACTGTATCAGTGTGAACTGTACATGTGATGTATAGTGAGCTGGGCAAAGAGAGATGTTAAACGATATTTTTTGCCTGCGTCAGCAGCATTGCAGGGGAGAGGGGGGGAGGGAGGAAGGAAGGAGGAGGGAGGCAGGCAGGCAGAGCAATACCAGTAAACAGGTGCCGGCTCCATCAGCTCCTCTCTCCCTATGCACCTCGTTATCACTGCGCACATATACACACACATGCATTACACATGAGCACTATAACACAAATGCCACTTATATTATAATGCATATATTTATACCACCTATTGTGTGAAAAACTACAATGGGATCAGGGAAAGAGGAGAAAACGAATGTCGGAAGCCAGAAAACGAAGTCAATAAAGCAAAGCTTTTAATGTTACTGTATCACCCTTTTCAATAGATGTTCAGGGGGCGATGTGGAAATAGCCTCACTCTAACAAACACAAGCACACTGCACCAACATCTTTGCACGGATACCAATCCGGTCTGCTGCAGCGCCTGAACAGTAGAGAGGGAGAAGGGAGCAGAGAGAGAGAGTACACGAGTAAGAGGCAGGTTATTTTTTTCCTCATGCATGTTTTAGTTTTTAGTTTTTTATTTCCTCTGGTCTCTGTGTGCGAGTGAATGTGGTGATGACGGGTTCCCTGTGCAGCCTAGCGATCCTCCACAGATGGATACACAGCAGGACTATGAGACACTGAGAAATTAAATACAGGAAAAGGAAACAAAATCAATGCAAGGAAGGAGAGTTGACTTTGATTCAAAGCTGCTCAGCTCAGGCTATTCCTCAATTGACTGTCAGTTCATCCCCTCTTGAATTTGTTGGAGAGGAGGGGGGGGGGGGGGGGGTCGAAGCAGTGAACAGAATAGATGCAGAGAATGAAAACAAGTCGAAAAGAAAGAGAACCTGTTTGTTCACTGTTATTTACATTTTTCCTCTGCGCAGAGAAAGAGGGAGATGAGAGAGGAAGGCAGCAGAAAAATTGAAGGAGGGAAGTGTACGTGAGCAATTGAGAGAGAGAGAGAGAGAGAGCGAGAGGGGGAGAGAGAGAGCAGCGTTGCAGTAGCATCCCACAGCAGACGGCTGAGGACTGCCGATGTGTGTGTGACTGCACTGCTGAAGAGGAGGAGGAGGAGGAGGCAGCAGAGGGTGAGCACGCTCGCAGACTCTGCAGGGCCATAGAGGAACACAGAGCAGCAGCGGCAGCGCGAGTGTTGGCCGGCACCAGGTAGAAGTCCCAGCGCTGTCGCCCCGCAGACCACCGCCGTAGGATCGGGACACGCCAACGCAGCCCAGACCTCCACTACCAACGCCATGGCACAAGCCGCCAAACATCTCCGCAAGAACAAGGATTTAGAAGCCCAGCTAGAGCAGGAGCGCAAAGAGAAGGAGGAGGAGAGGGTCAAAAAGAGGAGTCGGTCACGGGATAAAAAGCGCAAGGTACTGGGACTATTCTCAGGTGGGGTAGTCAGGGGTGGGGTGACGTGCTTAGGGTGGGGAGGGAGGGCTGGCCCGAGAGGGGGGCAGGAAGGTTGGATGCCCCCCCCACCCCCCTTTTCTTTCTCTGTCATGCTAAGCTGTGGTCAGGGGTGCCGGGGCACACATGGAAACTCAGTCATGAGTGTGTTTCTCCTGTGTGTACACACAGTCTCCCTGGCACACATGTATGTCCTGTGCATACAGACGAGGGGAAACGGTACAACACACTGCATGCTTTCCTTCTCCCCTTGACTGCTTTATACCTGCTTTATTGACTGTCCTGTCTAAGCCGTCTGATAAGGCAGTGTAGTACTCTACCTCTCACTGTGACTCTGTCCCTCTTCACATCTCTCTCTTTTTCTTTGTTTGTTTTTACACTGCGGTATGGTGTCAGTGAGCTAAATTTCACTACAGCACTAATTTTTCACGAGGACAGTGAGCTTGCCAATTTCCTCAAAACAGTCTGTACTCTTTTCAGCTTTTTCTCTATATGTCATATTAATTACTGCAGAGCAATACCTGCAGACTTGTGTCTGACTGAGAAGTCCCAGGCAGCGCTGGAGTGACTGGCAGGGCTCGTTGTACACAATAAATCTCTGCTCCGCCAGTCGTCGCCTGCAGGGACATATCACCAAGCTGCCGAGTCGACTTTATTCCTCTGGCCTCTCGTTGGATTTTCTCTCAAACTCATGAATGATAATGAATCATCCGCAGATTGTGCTGTTGTGTATTGGTGGGAAATTGGTCCTCAGCAACCAAGAGCGAGTCTGCACCTTGCCAGGCTGGCTGTAAACCAATCTGATGCTGATGCAGTAGAGACAGTGTTATGGACGGACACACAGTACAGCTTCCACTTTCACAGAGAGTGGAGGCAGGGCTGGAAGGCTGGTGTAGGGATTGGATTTTTTTATTTTTTTTGTTGTGCAAGAAAGAAAGAGAGGGAAAAGTGATGGGACTCAGATACACCTGAAGTAGCTGTCTCTCAGGAGGGGTTTGCTCCTCCGCTCTTTTTGTAGAAGAGTCGGATGCAATCGTTTCATCACAGACACACACATACACATGCCACTTCTCTGTCTGTCGATGACTGACATGAGTTACTGTACGGCTTCGCCGCCAAATTCTCCACCTCTAACCTGTCTTGATTGACTGATCAACGTTTGGCTGTAAAGACCAGGAGTGTGAAAGTAGGCACTGAGATGCTTGTGTGGGTGCGTTTTATGCATGTGTGTAAGTGCAGTATGTTCATGTCTGGCAAGATGAGACTCAAGAAGGGAAAGCCTGCTGCTCTAGCAGTATGGATGAGGCAAGGATAAGATGTCTGGGTGAGGGTACTAATGCATCCCAACTTTGACTGAAAGTGTATGGTTTCAGAGGATCCCATATCACTTACGTAACGATGCAGCTTAAGTCTTTCAAATAAGCTTCCTGACTCCCCTCCAGCTCCCCCTCCCAAACTCGCTTCCTTTTTTTAACACCAGCTTACGTCCATTCCTGGTTTCTGGGGCAGATGTTAACACTGGGGGGATTCTCTCTCTTTCTCTCCAGTGCCCTCTTTGTTTCCTCTCTGATGCCGGCAGCTACGTAGTCAAATTATACAGTCTGTAATTCAAGAAGTTTCCTGATATTGCATGGGGGTTAACCAAACCAAGCCACACTTGGTTGTTTTCTTTCTTTGCCATTCGACCGCTGTTTATCGGTATTTGTCCCATCAGCCCTTCTTGTGTATCGACCTGCACCTCGGAGTGTCCCTATCCTCGCGGAGCAGGCAAGGTCAACACTTTTCTCTGTGACAGAACCACCTTTTTATTTTTATCGAACCACCTTATACATTTTGTTCGCATATACTAACTAACACTCACGCACACCTGTTTTTTTTTGTATAATTTTGTTAGCAGCAAACCAGGCTTTTGTTATGCAAGCTTCATTTTCCTTCCTCACCGGAGGCCTTTCAACCATTTATCCTGCACAATTTATCTGTATAATTTCAACATTTATTGTGAGTTAGTATATGAAGGAATTACTCGTAGCTTCTTTAATTGATCTTTACTTACGTGACCAATATTTTCAACTTATTGTGGCTTTTTGTGTACATTCGAATGGATGGTGGTCCATTCATAAAACTTTCTAAAATGGAAAACATTTCTTTATGGTCTTTCATTAAATATCTTTTCGATAATTGCAGAGTTGTTCTTCTCACCCATAAAGTAGGCTACTATGACACCCTGCCTGCAGACAGTGAAACTAATCAATCATCTTCATGTTCTCTGGTCAAACTGCAGTGAGCCTTTCACCTTGTCCAGATTTTACTTTGTTGTACCCCATCGATATCATGCGATATGGTGCCATGACATTTCCTCCTCTGACCCTCCTTAGTTCATTCTTTTTTGGTCCAGTTGGTCCCATGGCCTCTAGGGGCTGCTAGCTGAGCTTTTGAGTCGCTCACCCTCTTGTGTGCTCCTTGTGGCTGATGTATGTTGGTGTTTTACATGATTATTTCCATCTCTGTGGGGAAACAAATCTGTGTCCGCTGATGAATGTCCAGAGTCTTAAAGCTAACAACTCATCATCAAAGGATGAAAGTGCCATTTTAATTGGCTTCATGGTGTAGTGGTATTATACAGCACAGGTCAGTTGCTGAGCAGTGGCTCATGCTGTACTCAAATTACTTTTATTGATGAGTTTGCTCCTCTTGAAAAATGAGCATTGTCAGGATGTGAACAAAGCCCTATTGTCCTAGTCAGCACCTATTTTCACCTAATTCTGTACGTAGGTTTGTGTCCACATCTGAAGCGGCTTCAGTGTGAAGTGATCTAGCCGGCCAGAATGGCCCTGAAGTATGAACTAGTGCTTTGCTGTGTTTGTATTGTTTGTCTCATATCAGCATGACACACACAATTGTATCTATGTGCAGTTTTCACTTTCGGCTGTTTGCATATTTAAAGATTGAGGATTATTCCAAGATCACAGGAAATGTACACCTGGCATTGATTGCTAAACTGACTGAAGATTTGCGCTCTTTACATATTGGCTGCTCAATTTTGGTAGTTGGTGAATAAAAACTTTTTAAAATATTTGCAGTATGTTTTATCACTGTTTAAATACTAATGTAGAAGGACACGAATTGTGAACACAAAACAGAACAAGAATCAATGTATTTCCCTTCATGACATGGAGTATATGCAAGTTACAACTTAAAATTGGTAATACAGTTAAATTAATCAAGTTAAAAACATCCAATTACAAAGTCTTGACAAAACAACAAACTCAATTTGTCTTGGTAGTAAAAGCCATATAATCCTTTCAGTTGGATTTGTAATGACCCCGAGGGTGTTTACCAAACCCAATACTCCCATTCAGGATATATATGAGCAGTATTTTTGTATGCAACAATATGAATTTCTCTCTGGTGTCATTTGCCATTTGCTCATTTAGTAGGAAGACGTTTTAGTTTTGAGTTTCAGTGAGTTTTAATCTGGTAACAATATTTTGACATGGGAATGCATATGTAAATCTCTTTATATGCACCTATTACTGTTGCTGTTGTTGTGATTAAGACTGCAACCAACGATGAATTTCATTATCAATCAATTGTCCATTTTTTTTAAATGACTAATGTTGTCCAAAAAACATTTATTTAGTTTGCATCTTTGAAGATAAAAAATCAGCAAGAGTGAATCGGTGAATTGTTGGCATTTTTGTGATATAATATTTAAAACTGCCAGCAAATGTAAACGGTGTGGCACGCAGCTGTCTCTTACAAAACAAGTGTTCAAATGATTTTTATATAATTTGACAATTATTTCCTTTTTAACATAATTATTTCCTAGAGCCCAAGGTGATGTCAGGTGTTTTTGTCCAAACAAGAAATTACATTTTCAGGAATTTACTTGTATGTATGACTAGAAAAAGCAGCAAATTCTCACATTTGAGAAGCTGGAACCATAAAATGTGTAAAAATGAGACAAACAATTAATGGTTTAATGACTCTGTTCGATGTAGCTCAAAGGTCATCAGTTGTGTGCACTTCTAGTTTCTGTTAAGTCAAGCTCGTCTGTTACTTGTAAGGCAGTGAAATGCAGAGGAAGAGTCATGGCTGCTGAGGACTGACCACTTAGTGGTGCTGGTACTTAGACTCATCAATACAATCAGTCTGGTCAGATGCACTATGACTCCTTTGTTGCTTTATACAGTCTGGCACTCAGAGGTGTTGGCTGCAGCGGTGTATCGCAGCCCATCAGGCATCTTAAAGGTAAAAGTCAGCCGCATAGACTCTCAGGTTCCCTAAAAAGTAGCCATGGTGCAGGACTGTGCAGCTAACATGGCTGCCAGCGAACATTGCAACAGTGAAAGTGCTATCTAAGTGCTATCTCCATCTTCATATAAAACACAGGTGGCAGCAGTGGATCAGCATTCCAGCCTCGTCTCTGTCTGCCCTCCAAAATCTCTCACCCTCCCTGTCTGAACAGGAAGCAGAGCCTTCACTGAGGTTAATGTGTCGGTGTGTGAAACAGATTGGTGCTGGAGGTGTGGATGCTGTGTTCATGTGTGTGTTCTAGTGTATGTCCAGGTTTGGTGCAGTGGATTAGGGGTGCTGCAGCAGTGACTAAGCCCATCAGAGGCAGCTCTAGCACCTCTCTGCCTGTCTGCTTACCTGTACCTTTACTAGCTACTGTGATTAAAGTTATGCATTTTCAATGAAACATTCTTTAGGTCAAACTATTGGCAGATGGTAATTCGTTTCATTATCTGCTGCTACAACATGCAAATCGTTTTTTATGCGTGTGGATGTTTGTCTCTCATCTGGAACTTTGCTTCAGTCGATATCTGCTTCAGTCCCAAACAGTGGCCTTTTTCTTCACCTCTTCTGAGGGTCATTAGAGGGATGATGGCTGGTCCTCCCGTTAAGGGCTGCAACTAATTATTATTTTATTATCAATGAAACTGAAACTATTATTTTTCTATTTAAAGAATATAAGAATGTTTTGAAACATTGGGTAATACGCGTATTCCCTTCCGTGCTGATAGTTACATGAGCAGATCAATACCACTCCAGCTGCACGGCCCGAGCAATAACTTCCTGGAGTCACTAGTGGTTGCCTGGCAACCTCACAGTGAGGACCACAATTCAGGAAGTCACTTCTCCCGCCAAAACCCACCGTAAAATGGACACGTGTCGTTTTTACACTTTGTTTTCTGTACAGATTAAACAGACAAGATATGAGTGTTGATCAGTGAGGTGCTGGTAGGTGGATGTTTTACTTTTGGAAGGAGCCGGTCCTGCTGTCACCCTATCTCCAGCCTTGAGAGAATGAAAAGGGAGACCTCATGTGTCCAGTACATCTGCATATTCATAGAGATTTTTGAATTAGGGGTGACAAAGTGGGGAAACTCATATTGGACAGAAAATGGTATTCAAAGCAGATACAACTAAGAGAGATGGATTGGATATTTTTGCTTTCACTCTTCTGCAGTTGGGGTTTTCTGGAGCCAGTATGTGGTCGCTGCATAACTGCATTTTATTGGATTTCCACATAGATGTTGGGTCGGGCTCGGCAAAATGGATAAATTAAATATCGCAAAATTATTGACATTGTAGGGTTGAACATTGGTGCTTTCACTGAATATTTACATGAGATGAGATTTTTGATAGATAATCATCAGTAACGTGGATATATTGACAAGTGTGCAAAGGAAAATAATAGAACAGGCTGGTAAGTACAGAAAATCACTTTACTGTTATGAAGACTTTAAAACCAGGACGAGATAACACTTGTGCCATTTCACGATATTCAAAATGTAAGATTATATCAATATAATACCCTAATATTGCCCAGCCCTAGTCTTGGGTTTAAGATTGCTATTAAGTTAATATTATGTTTAGAATTCATAAAGACAATAATGTGTGTGTGTGTGTGTGTGTGTGTGTGTGTGTGTGTGTGTGTGTGTGCGCGCGGCTCAGGTGGCCCTGTGAAAACCCTTAGACGGATGACTCAGCAGGCCTGGTGGAGGCACTCACTCATGTTGATGGAGCCTGGGAATGAGTGTCAGTGAGTCCAGCTCCTGGCTCTACAATAAGTGCTGCTGGGGCAGGTTGGCCGGGAGCTGCAGCCTACTCTCCTTTAATTAAAGCAGGGCCGAAAGGCACACGTGAGGACAATTCACCAATCCCCAGCTCTCTCCTCGCCCTCCTCTCTTTACCAGGGCGATAGCAGGTCTTTATTAATGAGTAGACTGAGTGATTCCAAAGCAGATACCACAGGCAATCAGTTTCATTTGATTAGAGAGATGAGAGGACTACCCTGCTCCAAAAGTCCCTTTCCAATCTTTTTTTAAAATACAAAAATGAGGAAATAAACAAGAGCAAAATAGCATCAAGCATCCAGCAGGCACTCCCTCTCTGCAGGGATTAGGCTTCCCCAAAACTCCAAAGCCTGAGGATAGATAGTTTCATCCTCACCGCAGTGCTTCATTCTTTCATTTTAAAACTGAAGCCACAAGCATCAGCATCCGCTTATTTTGTGTCGTCGTCTCTGTAATTATAAAGCCTGCAGTATACGAGAGCATTTATTGGTGTGTTTCCCAGCTGATGATTGTAATTGAACTAAACTGACACGTAGGACTGCATTGCTTTCATCAAAGCTTTAGACTCCCAACAACAGGTTTGAGTAAACCACCCAGAAATATTAACAATGGCAGCCTTCGTCCTCCCACTGCACAGTCAAATCCTTTCATTTGTGAGACAGCATGTGAAATAATGTGTCATATTGTGAGGGGCTTCCTTAGATTTCCCCCTGTGCCTCCCCCTTCATTCTCCTTTCTATCCCTCTCCTTGGCCGATTGCGCTAATCTGTCTTGTTGTTATTCTAATAGTGCAGCTGTTAGGTAACTCTCTGAAACAGGAATTGAGAAATCAGGGTTATTCAAATGGAAATAAAAGTAGAGAGAGAGAGAGAGAGAGAGAATATGATACAAGATGGTCTTAGAGGAATTTTATAGGTCATTGCTGGACAGCTTGTTGTAAAAAAAAAAAAGGAAAGCTTTTGGTGTCCGTTCACCAACCTGAGCCTTTTCCCTTTAAGCTCCTTCTGGATGCTGAGAGAGGGAAGGACAGGAGGTGGGAGAGGGAGCTTAGTGTAGTTTGATGTCCAGGTACTCGGAGTTCTGCCTTGATATCCTCAGACTCTGCAGCATCTCTTGGACGTATATGTGCGATAACTAGGAGCCTCTGCATTGGGCAACCTACCTCTTACGGTATTGATGTGCTCTGCATATAGCTTACAGCAGTAGGTGTTCTGTGCAATTTGATGCATTTTTCTATCCTCATCCACCTTTACAGACCTTATGATTTGGTCACTGTGGTTCCTTTTATATTCATACGTGAGCACACAGAATAAAGAACGGAGAATAAATGAGTAGGTTACTATGAATTATTTGTGTTTGCGGATACGTTTGCTGTTTTTGTGGCCTGTTCGTCGGACCACCGCTTTGGACCAGACTGCAAAATCCAAACGACTATCTGATGGATTGTCGTAACAAAATTGTACAAACATCCATCATGGTCCCCAGAGGATGCTTCCCCCTGTTCTTGATGATCCCCTGTCACCTAGCGCCAGCACAAGGTTGATCTATTTTTTTGTGAATTATCTCAACAAATATTCGATGTATTGCCATGACATTTTGCTAAGACAGTTATGTTCCTCTCAGGATGAATCTAATACATTTGGCGATACCCTGACTCTAAGTTGAATGCCACCATCTGGTCAAAATCTCAGTTCGTCAAATTCTTTGGATTATCACCAAATACCTGAAAAAACGAATCACATTCCCAACAGCCTCAGCCGTACTTAAACATGTTAAACATTATACATGGTTAGCATCAGCATGTTAGCATTGTCGTTGAGAGCATGCTGATGTTGGACTTCATCCCACTGGTGTGTGCAGCCTCAGAGTTTCTAGCATAGCTGAAGACTCCGTCTTATTATCTTAGGTGGCACAATCCAGAGATCTGCATTGCAGAGAATTTATTCTGCAAGTTTGCAGGTATTTCTTTGTGCTGAAAACAAGCTTGCCATGTGTAGGACTATATTTGTATGTGTGGGAAGCACCTTATGTGTAAGTGACTGGGTGCGAGTTTTTGTTTTGCGATGATGAGCGTTTAGACTGAAGGAATATAGCCCAGAGGCAGAACCATAGAAGAGGAGAGTGAAGGCAAACATATCAGAGAAGTGTGGGTGACCCAAGGGTGACTCTGCACCCTTTTCCTCTGCATTGAATGACGGGTGTTATTTACCTGATTGATATGATGATTCCTTTTTTTCCCCCGTCTACCAGAGAGAAGAGGAATAATTGAATTCTAAGCCCAGCAGTGCAGCAGGTCATTACAGCTGCACAGCTTCCGGGCTGTAATTCACAGTTCCAGTTCTCCGAGTGTGGACAATAGACAACGTCTGATTCATTTAATGCGATGGGAAGGAGGAGATTGAGTTCATGTTTGGAGTCTGAATTTCCTGACTGAATTAGACCTGCATAGGCCAAAGTGGCGTCTTGAAATACAGTATATGTGTTACAGCAGCTTAGTAGAACTTTTAGGGAAGGGATTCAGGTTCAGTTCGTATGACTATAGCGGTCTTTTTGGGTAACGGATGATGACATTACGTGACCAGGACTTTTGCATTGGTTGGTGCCATGGTTTATCACTCTATGCTCCCTGATGACAGATATATTGAGTCATCTAATCCTCGTGTCAAGTGTCATCATAGTGTCGTAGCATCATGGACCTGGTATTAAAAGCTTAGTCATTTGTCAACCCCTTCATCTAAATCCCTCGGTGGCAGAGGTGGTGTCACTTTGATTTGATCCTTTTTCCTCATCCCACCCAGCATGCACAGTGATGCTGTGCTCTCCAGGAGGATGGCCAATAACATGTACACAGAACATAACCAAGCCTTCATTCATTCATCCATGCATATGTTGAGGGCGATACATGTACCGTAGCACACGTAAACATTATTTAATTACCTTAATTGAAACAGTTTTATTTCTGTAACCATCAATTTTTTCAGTTAACAATGACTGGCGACTGTTTTCACACTAGAAAATGCAATGTAGACAGCTATTTTTAGTTTTACTAATTATACTTAATTCTCAAACTGTGGAAATGTGGTTGTTATTTGTTGATGTTAAAAGTACAGTAGCACTTAAAAAATAAAAAAAAAACATGTTGCATCACTCGCACAAATGGGTTCTGATGGCAGGCTCCATTTTGGATATGGTTAAGCTTTAATAATATTACTATTTAAGGGAAACTTTGCTGATTGTCAACCGGCTTTGTATCATTGCAATGTGGGTGGTATGTGTAAATGAACTGTGTTTGGGCTCCCTCTGGGTTACCGGCGTCCAGAGTAAAAGCTTGCCGGAAGTGGCGCGTTTCGCACCCTGTTAGCGACTGAGCAGCAGACGTGGGAAGCTCCAGGTGCAGGTCATTACAAAGCTGGTTGAAGAAAGTTTCCCTTTATTCTCTGAGTCTAACGAATCTCTTATTGAATCTTTTGTTACCTCAGTTTTTCCAGATATGCTGTTAGCCGTTAAAATGAATGGCTTGTACATTGTTCTTCACTAATGATCAAAGTGAAGTTTTGCCGGATGTTAATGGTTCAGTTCACCCAAATCAGGATTTGAGATCGGAGATTTCCTTCTTGACCTTGGAAAATAGTTTCAACACAAGGTCCACTCGTTAGCTGTCCCGGAGCTTTTGATCGTATCACATGATTCTCTTCAGCAGATGGAGTTCGCAGTTGTCATGGAAACATAGATGTTCAAATTTCTATTTTCTCAGTTTGATTTGTTTCGAAGGACGACCTTGTGGTGAGGTCCTAACATATTTGTCCTTTATGGAATATTTCTTTCGTAAAAAATAACTTCAAAAATAAACTATTCACACCGCGGTTTGTGTGTTGTCAAGAGTAGCATTATTAAAAGTTATATATAATTCATCATTCCCTCTAATATCTATTTTATATTGTTTTGCGAAAACTTCTCTTTGAAACTATTTAAGTGAAGTTTCTTGCCAAAAAAACGACATTTTACAGGACTACATTTGAACACATCATGATATAATTTACCTTCGCTGAATACAAATCGTTACTGAATAGAGCGTGAACGCACCATGATGTAACTCAACAGCCCGATACTCACCAACCGGTAACTCATCGGTTGGTTATTAAGAAATAAAATGACGAGTGACACGTCGTACAAGAGGCGCTTTCCTTTTACTCCGGCACTCCAATGACTCAATGAGTTTTGGCGCCGCATTTAGAAGCGCTCTTGGGATCCCACAGGATTGGCTCTGTGTGGGTAGCTGTCTTGTGAGCCCTCTCTGGTCCTGATGTATGTCGGTCGACCCTGGCCACTCAAGTACTTACCTGTCCGGTGTTTAACTACCTCCAATCTCACTGTGTACTTAACACTTTTTTTTAATGTGTGTGGCTGTGGACAAGCCACACGTTCATTGAACAAAGGCACGTGGGTTGTCTTGTGCCGCAGGATTTACTAGCTGGCAGGATGGTTGTGTCACCCAGCCTCTAATTGGCTGACCCCAGAGATTTGCAGAGCCATGTGCCCATCCCTTTCCCTTTCTCCCTCCCTCCTACAGTACATTCCTTCATCCCTCCCATAATCAATTCTCCTGCTTCAATATAGACTACAACTCCCCTCCCTCCCTCTCTCTCTTTCTGCCGCAGTTACTTGCGGCACATTGCAACACTGCAAGACCATGCTTTCATGATTTTTAACACCTCTCTGTCTTCTCTCTCAGCCTCTGATTTTACATTAAGAACTATGGATCTCACATTTAGAGAGAGAAACAAGATAGATTAAGTGAGCAACAGAGAGAGACGGGGAAGGGAGTTGGGGGCATCAGTCATTTTTACTGTTACGGCAGTCTTATGTTTTTGGGAGACGCGAAAAGAAAACAGGAGTGCTGTGTTGGTATATAATCAACTTCCACCACACCCGTTTATAAATCCTTTGATCTAGTGAACAGACATTTGTTTGGATTTTCCTTCGTCATATTTAATCAGTTTGGATCGCAGAGGAGGGAGGGGGCTGGTCCTTGGGGACTGTAGCGGTATCTGCTCATGATGAAGGGGAACGTGCGTGTATGCAGCAGCTTCACAAGGTTAACCGCACCTTGCACACCATCACATGTAAGCACACATGTATGTAGACTTGGCAAACGCACATCCACTGTCAGCCAGCCCTTAGTCAGCACAGTGTCGGCTGCTGTGTTTGAAAGTTGGATGTCACCACCTAGTGTTTGTACGGAGGACTTTCCAATCACTATGTGAACAACTGACATTATCTCCTGTATTCTCTCATTGTCTTGTGCCTCTCCTCCTGTCAAACAACTCCTCAACAGTCCCTCTCTCTACCACCACCACTACCTCACACATCTCCCCCAGAAATGATGTCCTTTTTTATGTAGCGTACACTTTAACAGTGTATGCTCTTACGCACATCCATATTTCATGTTAATGAACAACAGCATGCGTCACTGAAAACCTATCTTTACCATATGGAACAGGTCACCGCAGTTGAGCACTGCGTCTTTTCCAACCTGATCAGAGGGACATGGAGAGACTGACAGTCAGAAAGATAATCTGGCATGTCTTTTTTTGGTAAATTATTAATTTTTATTGATTGCTGGAGTTGGATCCTGATTACTCTGCATTTGGCTGCATTCACTATGCCCTCATCTCTTTTTCTGTTCCTTTTGTAGTCTCTTCATAGAGCAGCACTTCCTCCCTCGCTCCCGTGGTCACTCTTGTTCTTTTCTTTTTTCCCCTGCTGCCTCCATGCAGAGTCTAAGTATAGGAGAATATACAGCGGAGCTTGAGGCAGTGCAGGACAGTTAAGTCTGCTGGTAATGGAGAAAACGTTTGTCAGACCATAGAGCACCAACTTTGGCCCCATCTTAGCCTTCGGCACAGACCTTTATTTGCCTACATTGCTGGAATGCATCTGACGCGCGTGTGTGTGTGTACACATGTGTATACGTAGATAAAACTGTGAATGATTCAAGTTAGAATCTCTTGGACATATCTTTGTAAACTTTTTAGGGATTTGAGAAGCAAACGGTGTGTTGGCTGTAAAACTCTTAGCTGTCTGTGTATGCTGTCTATAGACGTACATAATTTGTCAGTGTGTATTCAAATAACTGCAGCTATTTCACAAGAGCAGTCCTGTTAAGAGTGAAACAATTCATGATTGATGGACAGAAAATTAACAGTTTAACAGTAACAGCCAAAAATGGCAAACATTCCTGTTTTTGCTGCCTCAGAATGGGCCTTTGGGGGTTGAGTATGCATGAACGTAAGCATGGTTGGTCTGTGACGGTAAAGGCTATGACTCTGTGTAATACAGCCCAGCTGACACTGGATTTTGGGGGCAGATACCGATATTAGGCAGTTTGAAAAACATCCGACATTGATACATTGCCTAAAGTATAAAAACCTTTGCAATGATTCCTCAAATGTGGTTATCAAACACTGAAAAAGATATCTAATGGTGGAAGGATATTTTCCAGTTAAGCAATAAACGTCAGTGCAGTAAACTTCACTGAGAATTAAATAAAAAGCCATGAAGTCTGGTGCTCAAAGAGAAAAAGATCAGTGAAAAAGAGAAAATAAACGACCATTTCCTGACCTCTCCCGTCACTGGGAGCATGTGTTGTAGTTTGTTTACCTCTTGTCGAACGCAGGTAACGTTTCTGCTTTGTAACCGTCTTTTAATGCAGTGCAGCAGTGAACCAGAGTGTTTATTCCTCTTGTGGCGCTGCCAGTACGTTGAACATATTTGCAATAGTTAAAAGATTAATTAAGAAAATAAGGAGAAAAATGTATAATAAAAATGATAATTTGTTGTAGTCTTAGAAGTGTTAATGCTGCCATACAATTTAAAAGGACAACACTATCCATGGCCTCTTGTGTCTGTCCTTGGTCAGGAGGCTGACGGTCATCATACAGCAACTTTCTTGAGCCAACTGTTGTTTTTCCATCATTCTTCAGCTCTCTTACCACACATCCCCGCTGACACTCCATTCTAGTCGTTTTTGCATTCTTGCATTCTGCTGAATCGATGAAACTGAATCCACTTCAACACTTACTTACTCTACATTTTTTCCCACCCTGTCTTGCTTACTTTTTTCATATTCAAGTCATAATTATGATGTAACATATTGTATGCTTAATGTTTACTTCACAATTTAATTCAGTGTTTACTTTCTCCTGCAGTTTGAACTTAATATCTACATTTGGATCTATTTCTGGAAATCTAAAATCTATTTTACTTTCATTTAATTCGATTTCAGTAATTCCACTATGTTTGGAGAAAAGTTTTAATTCATTTATTAGGTTTATTTTTGTTTCACATGCCTTTTTTTCCCACACATGTGGTGTCATTGAACTTCAGCCTCTGTTGTTATGTAATGTGCTCAGAATATCTCGCTGTGGAGCAGAGGAGTATGCTTGAATGTAAAAAATATGGCTCATGTTTCCAACAAGCCATTCTGTTGAGGGAATAAATATGGCGTCAACAGTTCTCATTTTAGAATAAGGCATTGTTGTGTTCTTCACTTTGAGTTGTCTGCTGACACATCAACGAGCCTGCACTCTGTAGTCTTTCTCTTTCTGTTGTTTACGTTATGTTCCAGACAGAGAATCCTTGTTTACTGTAAAGCTCGTCAAATACATTAATCAAGGTAAAACACTCTAGCTGTTTTCTACTTTGAGTAGTTAAAGATTTTTTTTAAATAAAAAAATGTGAAAGCTAAGCCTGTACTGTGTATTAAGGACATTACCTTACCACATTGCTTGTGGCATCACTGCCTTCTTCACCTGAATATGCAAACTGGAAATGATTTGGATGCAAAATGAAATGAAGTGTGAAAAAGACATTTTATTTTCAGTATATTCCGTGTGGCTGTGAGTGAGCATACATTGGTGTGCTCAGCACTGTCATCCAGATGTCTGTTTCTATAAATAGGAAGATGACAAATGGTTAAAAGAAAATTAAAACAAATATAAAATGTTGTATAGCAAGATATTACAGCAGAGATAAGTGTGAGAACAATAGCTGGAAAGATAATTGTATGGAGATGAACGTAGTGATTTCCTGACAGACCAGACCAGACAATTGCTTTGGTTTGAATTTCAAACTGCAATTGTGTCAAAGATGTGATGTAGAATATCAGGTTTCATGTATTTTAGTTCTTAAAGATGGAACGATAACAGAGGACAGATGAAGGATGAGCTGGTCTTGGCTCCCTCTGCTGGTCGGAGCAGGGTCAGCTCTCATTTACGTTCGACTTCATCCTGACTTGGTCAGCATCTGAGCAGGTTCACAGCACGGCAAGATGCAATCAGTAGGCTGACAGTTGGTTCAATGATCATCCACTAGACACCGCCATGTCCTGAAGAGAGTCAAGTGGACAGCAGGTGTGAAGGACATGGCACTGCACTGCTGCAAGGAATCGGTCGGATTGTGTTTAGCCATCACACACACACACACACACACACACACACACACACACACACACACACACACACACAGTCTTTACCGAACACATACAGAGTTGCACATTGCCCCAGATACCAGTCGAGCGTGCAGTACACATACAAGCTGTGTTCACACCCGCCTCTCCCTCTGATCCAGTGCAGCAATTCAACGCTGTTCTGCAATACTGTTACGCAGAGTCATCAATTATTCATTAAGGATTTCTGCGCTTGTTCAGTCATGGTCTTGATCGACCGAGAGATGGAATTCAAGAGGTTAATGATTCATATAATTTCCCCCAAAACTGCAGTGAAACCGTATAGTTAGTCAAGTACTCTATAAAAGCTATTAATGCTATTGATCATTGTGGGTAGATGGATAAGGGTGCAACATATGATCCAGACAGTCTGATTTATTTGTCATGAGGGAAACGTCTATTATTCTGCCAATAAAGGATCGCCATCCCTCTGCGCCTGCCTCATAAACCCATCCTCCAGCCTCTCTGCAGAGATAACTTTGGTGGCTCCTATAAATAACCGCATCAGCAGATTATATCATGTGGAACTCACCAACAAGGATTTTATTAAGTACATTTATTTATTATGAATACGCTTTTGTCCAAAGCGATGTACTCATTTGTTCACAGTAGTGCTATGCCTGGTTCTGATCTGGTGGACTGGATGATTTGGGTGGTTTACTGTGTGAAAGACTGCCGACAGGTGCAGCAAAATGAGAACAGATGACTGGGCATCGCTTCTCGCTGACCGCAGGATTTCTTTCATTGACAGCAGTGCAGTTTCAGTGCACTGAAAGCTCTTAAACCAGACTGGTTTGGATCAAGGAGATTATTTTGTGGGAGATGAAGTCTGAGACTTAAAAACTGCACCCTCTAGAACCTTGAATAGAAAGGATAGTAGCGAGACCGGCCTGTGGTTTGTAACTTGATGGATTTAGGGTTGGCCCTTTCAACAGCTGGCTAACTGGCATGGGAATGCTCAAACATTGTGGGGATGTACCCAAAGCCAGAGGTCGGAGGGAAATGGAAGGAAATGGATCCGGAGGACAAGTGGTGGGACGACTCAAGAGCAAATGTTTGGAGAGCTCTCCCTCGTTGAGAGGGAGAATGCAGTAAGTAGAAGTTACACTAAAAGGCCCCAGATTCCCAAGCTGGCTGCTGCTTGTTTAAGGACAAAATTCAACAAAGTCATTAAGCAGATATTTGAGGACGGAGAGGGATCTGGAGGTTAATTTGCTCTTAATAAGTGCAGGAACATTTCGGTCATTCGTGGACAACCTGACAGGAGAGGGAGCACGATGTCTTGGGAACCCCCCCCCCCCGGCCAAGGAGTGGTATCCAGCGAAACCTTCTGCAGAGCTCATGAATGTGGACACAAGGCTGAACGTGTGTGCCTGACTGGATGAGCATTTGTAATTGCCGTCTGCAGAGGTTGATTTTAGTGCAGGGCTTAAGAGTGTAGTGGCGTGTGTGTGTGCTTACTGTCAGAGCGGAGACACAGATTGGGGGAGGCAGGTCTTGCACTGTGTGGTCCACAGCACTGCACAGTCATGAATGATTTAATGGCAGGAGAGGTGAGCTCTGTCCTGCTCTCGAGATGCACGCCGGCATTTATGACCTGCACAAGTGAATCATTTACATGACCCAACCAAATGTTGTAACGATATTCGGAATAAATTGGGTTTCTTAGGGTGATCTATGATGTGTGTTTTATATGTAGCTCCATAAATGGCACTGCTGCTGCAGTTTATCAAAAGAGAGGGAGTTCACTCCTACGATCCTGTGTCGACCTTGCACATTTCCACTGTCGACTTATGTAAGTTTCAAATACAGAAGAGGAGGTGGAGGCCCACTTTCTTAAGTGGATCATGCTACAGAAATACTCTTTACATATCAATATTTTCCTCACAGTACAAAACCACACATTGTATTATTCTTCCCGGTATGATGGTTATGTGAGAACAGTGCCATATTTCACTGTGTGTGTTGTAATACTGCTCCAACATACCGCATTACGGCTAGGCTGTTGTTGGCCTGCAGCCAGTGAGCATGGGTCATACATTCATTTAGACGACTTTATTCATGTGAAAGGTCACATGTCGTGTGTGTGTGTGTGTGTGTGTGTGTGAGATCAATTCAGCCTCTCTTATTCTTTATTTTTTTCATCCCGCTCTAAACGGCTCATTTTTTTCAGTGGTACACGTTTGATAGGTCACAGTAGCAGTTATTAAACATGCTGCCAAATGCAAATCCAGATGGTACCACTTTGCGAGAGAATCATCCTCCCACAAAATAATTACCATTCACTTCTAACTGAGTCTGAATTACCACACTATCTCACAGTTCTGGTCTCTGGACACTGATCAGCTGTTCAGTGCATCATGTACTTCTCTGCTCACACCTCCACGTGGAGAAAACCCACGAATTCACATGAATATGCTTTTGACTTTAACAGTTTTATGCATATCATTGGAATTTGACAATAACTCTTAAAGGACTGCAATATTGCCCCTGAAAAGACCTAAGTTAACATTGCATTAGTCTGTAACTCAATACTTTCTGACTTCCCCAGCCTGTACATGTACTGAATATGATTCTCAGCCCCAAGCCTGTTTGTCCCTATGAAGATGTAGATCTGTAAAGGCAGGTCACGAACATAAACCTTTTATTAAAAAAAAGGGTTCCTGAAAAAGCTGGGAATAGTAGCTTTTAGCAAACATCACTCAGGAATAAATAATGTATTTGTTGGGGACTATTTTAAACTGTGGATTAATGCACATATAGTGCTCTAGTAGGTTTTTCCTGCTACAGGATGGTTTATTGACTCAAAAAAGAATCGTAACAAAGGAATATGTCACCCAGTGCAACTGTGTGGCTTACTGATGTGTTTTTGGACAATAGTGAAGGTACAGAAGAGTTAAGATATATCAGGCTTTTGCATGTCAGGCAATACTCATAGTATTGGTTTGGTTTGGATTTTTTATCACCAGACTTGCCCTTTTAATTTTGGTTAACAAATAAATATAAAATGTTGTAGCTAACATATTCAAAAGAGCTCTTTTTTTGTGCACAAATCTGAAGGACACCTTTGTCAGCGCTTAAGAGTAACAGTGTGAGAACACATGTCCAGCACCACGGGCAAAAGGACAAGTTTGACACTGATAAATAACCCCGAGCATGACAGAGCAGGCATTTAATTATGAGAAAGAAATAGACTCAAAGACAGAGGGACGGGGAAAAGGTATGCGTGTTGGTAGCAGATTGAGGCGCAGGGTGGTGGGTTTCTTGCTTGGCACTTCCTTGGCTGTTCATTCCTCTTTCATGCTCCATTTATTCAATATGGAAGCCAATGTGCTGTCTAAGGTTGGAACTATTTTGAGGCATTGTTTCATGGTTGTAGACGTTATTTCTTTTACATGGTGATGAGGCCGTTTTTGAGGCAGTTACATAAATTCAGCACTCTTGAAGCAGAGTGTGTCCCCTCGTCCTCTCAGGTAAGAATATTGCAGTAAACATTTTCACACAAAGGCATGCCCTCCATTTTACTACACTATTGGAAAACTGAACTTTCATAAAATTTCATGACATCTTTCTTTGTAGTGAATTGTCTTGAGATAGCTCGAGACTGTTCCGTTTCTTCACTGAATGGCTCGCTCTTGCTTTGATTATTGCTCAGAAGTGATGCTTTTGTCCTCTCTCGCTCATGTTTTTGTGCTTTTTTCGGGGCGTGCCCTCCTTCAAATTACTGAACAAATTGTTGATTTGTCGGCCCTTCTTACTTTGATCCAAAATATTTCTACTCAGTCGGCCGCCTCTCACTAATTTATTCTCAATTTTCCAAAGTCTTTTCCCACACAATGTGCCTCCCAGTGCAAACATCTTCCTTCACTCGGGCCAACAGTGTATCACCTTTTCACTTTCTGCTTTTTTCTGTCCCTCTTGATCCCTCTCATCATGTACAGCCTCAGTTACAATGTTCGCTCTCATCACATCCAAACCCTTGAGCTCTCTCCTCTTTCTTTTGTTCTTCTTCTCTCTGTTTCTATCCAGCTCTCTAGTTTTCAAGACGCTCGCATTGCTTTACCTCTCTTCTGCTTTTCCCTTTAGTCCCCGAACTGACCTCCAACCTCCCCATGTGTGCTTCTTTATACGTTCTCAGCTTTGACAACCCCCTTGAGCCACTCTCACTCATCAAACCCCAACTCAAGTGCTCCCTTCCTGTTTTGGAGGGCTTTGCTGAGGGTCGGGGACGTCTCTGAGGTTGGTACGGGTCTCATTTAGAGGGGGGAACACATGCTTTGTGAGAACAGAAGTGTGTTTTTCTCAGGCCACAGGTGTGCAGCGGTGGGGAGTTCCTATTGTAGGTGCCTCCTCTTGCTTGAAGAAAGCCAAGTTAATATAGATGTTGAATGACAGTGGGGGTTGAGAATTTGTAAGGTTTTACCCCAACTCAGTCTGTAATTTACCACAAAGGGCAGGAACTGCGATCTTTACGTGGAAGGAACGGTTTGAGCCCCCACAGAAATAGGGATCCCAAGGGTTTGTTGAAGGCATTAAACCTTCATTTTAAAGTCCACCTGAACTTCGCTGGTTTTACCTCAAGGGCATGTCCATGCAGGACACACAAACTTAGCTTGGTCATGTGGAGTTGTATTTATTCACCGACAAACTGTACACTCACTGCGCTGCTACGTTCACATGAGCAGAACTTGAGAATAAATAACAACAGAATTAATGTCTGATTGAGTTGTTTTATTTCTCCACTGCTTATTTTGGGCTTGCAGTTGAGACAAGTTGCGAGCTTCATGTCTTCTTCACTCACATCGACGACATGTTGTGTGTGCGGCTGTGACGTTACTGTCCGTGCCACTGTGTGCTGACGTTAAACTATCATGCGGCGGCGGCACATGTGTAAATGTGACGTCCACAAACTTGGAAATATGAGACTGACTGGCAGCTGATTAGCTGATTAGCTGAAAACCGGCCAATACATCCATGCATCTCTACTAGTTGTGTTTAATAATTACTGCAGAGAATTTGACTGCAACATGAAAAAGATGAGCACCATCGAGATTCTCCCCTGTCTCACCTTTTAACTTATTCACCTCTTTTGTTCTTCTCTGCAGTGTTTCATCATCTCATCCTTCATTTCATCTTTTTGCCACGTTTCATCTGTTGTTAGTTGCTAGTTCTGTGTTGTATGGGCCTATTCTGCCAAGATAAAGGTTCTCCATCGGGATGTGCCCTCCTGTCCTCCCTTCATCCCGTTCTCTCCACTCTGGGGTGGGTGTCACTCATCAGTGCTTCCCCACCAAGCAGGCAGAGAGAGGGGAAGAAGAGGAGGAGGAAGGGTTTCAGGGATGCAAGATGGAAATATCAGAGAAGAGAGACGTAGGACAGGAATTGGAAAAAAAAAGGGTATGAGGGGGTTATGGTGATGTTGGTGATGATCACGAGGCGAGTAAAGCTCCATAAAAGCGGCTTGACTGTCCACCAACTGAATGAGCCCCACACTGCTGATAAGGACGATGAAAGGAATAATGATGACAGTGGGGGTGCCAATAGGGTGCTATTTTTAGATGCATTCAGCTCGCCTGCTGTGTATAACTGTGTACTCTATGAGCGAGTGAACGTTTCTTTACATGGACCAGAAGCTAGCTAGCTGGTGGTAATTACACTGGTATTGCCTTCACCTTGTGTGTGTGTGTGTGTGTGTGTGTGTGTGTGTGTGCGTGTGTGTGCGTGTGCGCGCGCGTGTGTGTGTGTGTCTTTGCTCCTGTCCTAGTGTGCACATGGGTGTAGGTTTAAGCCACGTGCTGTTAATGCTGACTACAGAATCAGGGAAGAGCTGCAGTGAGCAACTCAATGTGCACTCTTCATGAAGACATGGAAAATTGCTTTTCAACCGCTGTGTGTGTGTGTGTTAGTGATTAAAGTGCATGTGCGCTGTGTGTGTCAGCACTGCGGATAGATGGAAGGGTAAAAGGACTGCAGGGCTGTGTATAAAAGAATGCAACAGAAAGGGATGAGAGATAAATGTGTAAACATTCAAATAAGCTATATGTACAGTATGATCATTTTCCTGTTATGATTTTATTAATTATGCATTTATAATTTTGATACCTGAGTAATCATGTACATAATTTATCAACCAGAAATATCAAACCGTGTGGTTCCAGCTTTTAAGATGTGTTGCTCGCTACATTTCTCTTTTTTTAGTTTTATTTTAGTTTTTATTGAGATGGACATTCTTTAGACTAAATGAGTGACAATCTGATTAACCAGAAAAATATTCACCAGATAAATATTCCTATATAATATAATTCCTCAACAAGGAAAATAACTTAAATTAAAAGTATTTGGTCGCAGCTGTAAAAAAAAATTTTTCATTTTTTTTTACATGTTTGTTCTTTCCAACGATATGTCAATCCCTCACAAATCTGTTGCCTTCCATCTCAAACTCCTCTGAAGTTGTATTTTACAGTAATTGGTGCAAACAATTTAGGCCACAGAGATGCACGTCTGCAGAGATCTAATAGAAAAATGCAACTTCCGGTTCGAGTGAGGAGCAAGGAAATGACAAATGAGAGACTTGGGATGTACCCCTCGACTCGAGCATTTACTGATTCGATTTTGTCGGTCAAAGGTCAAGACATGGATGTAAACTGCAACTTGACGTCATTTTAGTTTGGCCTTTGAAACTATCTTGTTGTAAAGGCTGACACAGCTGTAGCGTAGTTCTGTTAAATTGAGCAGTAGAAGTGAATGAAGGGAATCGAGGGATGGCTAAGATGTTCATATTGGCATCCTCCTCCTTTCACTCATCTCCCGCTTTACTGATAGCGTCACACATAGAAACCTTTACCATCAGCAGCGGGACTCCAAACTCACTGAAACCTGGGCTGGCCTGAAGGAGGAGTCTCCCAACAGCAACAACAGCAGGGAAAGAAAGAGATGGGATGAAAGAGAGAGAAAGCTGGATGAGGGAGAAACCAACTTTTCCTCTTTCCTTGCCTGCTAAATGACACACATCAGCCATAATACCACTTTTCTTGTCTGTGTCTATTACGACATGACATCGTGGTACAAGGCAGATTGCTCCCCTCTTTTCTCCTCCAGTATTACAATTGACTTTCAGCGAACATCAATGTGCCGACACCGTGCTCTCTTTTAGCATAGCCATCAGCTATCCTTAAATCCTAGTTCGTGATTAAACGTCTTCTGATGTCAGCGGTTGTAGTTTGTGAGGGTACCTCAGATAAATATACTCCATTATCTTGTGAATGAATCAAAAAGAAGACGGCTACAATGCTAATGCTGCAAACCGTCACACCAAGCTTGTAGGTGTTGCATTACAGCTCTTCAAATGTAATTTCCTCTCCTCATCACCGTTTCCTGGGTGTTTTGAGGGGGCCTTTCTCTTTCTAACGACTAGAAAGACAAATCCCTTTTTCTGTGGGATTTGGCCGGCTTAATGCTTTGTCTCTCACCCTCACAGCTCGCTGGCTGCTGTTTTTGTCCCGTTCCCCCCTGAGAATATTACCTTCAGATTCAATTTCCCCCCTGTGAATCTAATCAAGGATACTTGCAATAAAGTTTTCTCTTAAGAGCTATGCAGCAGCCATCTATGAGATGTTATTGCCTATCCACATTATGGCACCGCAGTGAGAACAGTCTTGGGACTGCTCCTTGGAAATTTCAGAGGCTTTGGGGCGAAGGGTCACTTCAGGTCCATCTAAAGCCCATATAATTCTTAAGCATGTTTGAAACACTTTAAATATGAAATTCCTTAAACCGTGACTCCAAAGCTTTCTGTGACCTGTGTGTGTGTGCGCGCTCATGTGCAGGTGTTATTTTGCATATTAAACCTTCATTAACTGATTTGTTTTGGGGCACTTGAGGGCAACGGAACATGCTGTAAACACAACATATCACTTCATAAAGTTGATATGGCAAACCTGTGAACAAATAGTTGAATATGTACATAACCATTGGATACAAAGCAACATTAGCATTATTTTGAAGTTGTGTTTATGTCCACCTGATGAATGTAAGTCCAATATTCACTCTCCCTTGATCTCTTTTTTCTTTGGTCTCCACCAATATTTTGGGGAAACGTGTCTCCAGTCTTTAGAGCTTTATCTCTTAAAAACAGCTGCCTGCTGCAGATGAGCACAAGGTTGACGTTGATGGCCGTGAAAGCAAAACGAGTTAACAGAAGCTAGCTAGCTGGTGGTAATTACACTGGTAGTGTGTGTGTGTGTGTGTGTGTGTGTGTGTGTGTGTGTGTGTGTGTCATCATGGCAAAATGTGGTCCTGGAGATGCCTACTGTTGGGGGAACTATGACAGAAGCAGTTTGGAGTACTTTGTTAGGTGTTTATATTTCTGTCTGGACAGATTTTATCACCATGATAGCTTCACAACTGTGAATAATGCAATCATACAATTTTGTAGGCCAAGTTTGAAGATGAATGTGGTCCGACCAATGGCGCCAGAAGTAGGGAAGAAGCCATTGGCCCCCCCCCCCCCCCCTTATGCTCCTGGCCAGATTTGGCATCAAGGCTAGTGTGATCTCATCACAAAATAGTCTTTAGTTATCTGTGGGTTTGTCTTACAGGTAACACATTTCACATAGTCATTAGATCTATTGTGAGTATTAAATATTGATAAGAGCAGCTCATGTGTGCATGATGACCTGTCTCTGCCTGAAACAAATATCAAATGATGGATGCACAGATGTTATTTTATAAATAACAGACGTGTGTTAAAGTGATGGAAAAATGATCAATAATGAGTAATTGTTCAGGTAAGCATATGTATCTTAGCCTTTGCATTATTGGCAGTAGACGCATTCAGTATGAATCAGGTTCTTATATAATACTTCATAATGTATTTATTTCAACATGTATTGTTTGAGAATGTTTTATTTCAGGCTAAACGTAAAGCAACTAGACGCTGCATATTGTGTGTCTGTGACCTCAGGCTTTTCAGTGACAAAAAAATTACTTCCATCACTTCTGAATGTCTAATCACATTGGCATTCAGTTTGAGATGTGGTGCTCAGTGTGGCTAGACTGCACACTGCATGCTGATTATCAGTGGACAGTAATACATTCTGTCCAGTATTATGATCGCCGTGGCCCGGTTTAAAGACCTAGATGTATTGTCCACGCCGATGTCTGCGGCACAGCAGCTGTTCCTGTTTGTTTAGTCTTGGCGTGGCTCTTTGGCTACACTTATTAAAGCATGTAACGTTCATGCTACACTTGGCAGGGGCGTTGCTGGAGTTGGTTGGTGGCTCTGTCGAAGTGTCGACGCGAGTCTGGGTAATCCACCGGCTGCTCTGCTATGCTTGTGCACGTCACTGGGCTGGCCTCATACAAAAGAGCAGACCTGAAAAGCACCATAATGAGGCACAGCCTGAAAGAAAAGGCATGTCTCTTTCCATTTTTCTGAGCGAAAAGAAAAGAGAAACATAAAAGAATAGAAGACAAGAAAGAAAGATGAAAATAAGCCTCACAAATCCAGGTTTTTGGCGCCGCTGTCACTTTGAGTTTATCTTTTTTTCATGCATGTTTTTTATTATGCTAATGCAATGTTGGATAAAAATAGTCTGGGATGGAAGAGCAACGGTTTTCAATGGAAAGAGGTGGAAAATAAGAGGGAGGGACAGGGGGGTGCCGCTAAATGTCATTGATAAATCATAAAGAAAAATTCAAATCCCGCATAGCCTCCATTTCTGTCTTCTCTTTCTTTTCATCTCTTCTTTCTTTGCAAAGCTTCAGCACAAACATCACATGTCCCAGAGTTCACACAAAACATGAACACATTGTTCTCTCTCCGTCATGTCACAGTTCATCTTCAGTTCCAACTACAGTAAACACACAAGTAATCCTTTGTTGTTTTTTTCTCTGTTATCTGATTTATCATCCACTACCAAAGAAACATACCAAGAGATGGCTCCAGATTACTAACCGTTTTTGCTGCAGTCATATAAATGTTTACATTTAGTACATTGGTGTCAGTAGGCGCACATACCCACGCTGCCGAAAGGCCCTTTAGTTGAAACAGACTCCTCCACTTGCCGCCTCGACAATCCCCCGATAAGTATTCTCTGAGGAAGACAAAAAAAGTTACAGAGCTGAAGATCAGAAGAGGTTGTACTTTTCTCTCCACTGCGGAGAACATCAAAGCGCTCTGTGCTCTCTGTTATGTGATGGTAATCTTTCTGCGTTAATGACCTCTGACCTCCACAGGTTCAGAGCAGAGAGTGGGACCAAGAAAAATCTGACAGAGTGGACCAAATAACAGAAACACCTTATTATACTGCATAATGAAATCCAATGCAGTAGGCCTGACAACATTTATTTTGAAGTCTGTTATTTAAATTCAGTCAATGCAGTAGTAGAGGATCTACTATTCTTACTGTTGTGACTTTCTTTTTACTAATGCAATTGTTTGTGTTGGTGAAATGTCATTTGGGACATACGTTTGACTATTTTGTGTAGCTGTCTTTAAAGTTGGAGCCCAGTTACAAAAAACAATCTTAGGAAGAGAGCAAGCTGTGTGTGTGTGTGTGTGTGTGTGTGTGTGTGTGTGTGTGTGTGTGT